AATGGTATTTCAATCTTTTTTTTTTTTTTGACGGAACGATAGAGATATTATATATAATGCACAAATGTGCAGAAAGCAGCCACCGGCTGATTACAAACAGCTAATAGCTGAATACAAGCAGCAAATAGCTGGAAAACTGGAAGGACAGGTCAGAAGACCGCCTAGAACCGACCCCAATGGGGTAAAACTCGGGAACCCTAAAAAAACACACAACACAACAACAAAAAACAACAACACAAGACCCCCACAGGGTAATTCCCGAGTGTCGGACCCCCACAGAGTAATGAAAATGACACTCGGGTGCACAGAGGCCAACGGCCCAAACCTAAAACACAACAACAAACACAAACACAGAAACGAACACACGAAAACAATAACAACAAACCAATCTACTACAAAACAAAAGAAAGAAAATCACAGCTAAATAAAAGCCCTTCCACAGCAAGACAGCTAGCTCGAACCAGCGGAGAACGGTCGATATCAGAGTTTTTTTTATTCCAATCTTAGAATCGACCTCTTCTTGAGTTTTTTTATTGGTTGAACGTTCTCGAACCTGCATAACTTTTACACCGGAGGCGTTCTCCGGTGAAGAGTCTCGAATGCTTAAATGAGTAAGTATTGAAAATAAAGTATAGAGAGATATCTATGTATAATAATGTGTAATAGAGAATGTAAGGGCTAAAATCACATTTCTCACCGCTATTTATAGGGTGAGGTACCTGTTTCTGGAAGGCTGCCCGAATATGGTGAGATGGCTGCTCAAGTTGTCAGAGCTGCCCGATAGTATAACCCCCACTACCCAGTGTGTCAGTGTAACACCCCGCCTTACTTAGTTTTGAATACTAAAAATCAGAGTAAAATTTTCGCTTTTATTTTTGAAATATCATACGAGTTTATTTTCGAAAACACTTCCTTAATTGCGGGATGCTACGAAAACTTTCTTAACTTACTATCTCGGACATAAATAAAACATGCAATCAAACGAGCCACTACGGCGATAATGGAATTATACATGCAGTCCGTCTGTCTCGCACTGAAACTTAGCGGAAGCTTAAAATGAATAATACATATTACATACATACATATTACATACTAATTCTTAAATTTTTAATACATAAGATGTGTGTAAAAATGTCCACTGCTCCTGATCACGCTTGCCACGTCTGCTCACCCGACACGCTGGACTCCGACACCTGAAATAAGAAAGACTGTGGGAGTGTGAGCACATCTGCTTGTTCGTGGGAAAAACTGGAACTGTAATAATCTTAACTGTAAACATAAACTTAAAAGCAGCATAAAATAAATAAGTTGTACTGTACTGTAAACTTTTCTTAAACTTTAACTTTGGTCAAAAGACCCTTGCTCGGCCCTTAGGTCGGCCACTCGTGTGCACACCATCCAGACACTGAGGCCGAAGCCCCAACCGAATACCAGGTGGATCAGGAAGGCCCTTAGGTCGGCCTCTCACCTGGGAGGAACTTAATCTCTCGAACATACCTCAGTCATAGTAAAATAATTATAGACGGTGTAAACCCAGTACATCACCCTTACTCTGGGCGACACTGAATTAGACAACATCTATAATAACATATCATGAACTTCAATATATAAGAGTTGAATTTAATCTTTCTTTTCTTTTCTTTTCTTTTCTTGTGGTCAAAGACCCTTGGCCCTTAGGTCGGCCGCTCGTGTGCACACCATCCAGACAATGAGGCCAAAGCCCCAGCCGGATACCAGGTGGATCAGGAAGGCCCTTAGGTTGGCCTATCACCTGGGAGAACTTAACTTGGCCACGAACGGGATAATTCGACCGTTCGGGTAACTGTCTTACTCACGTACCTTATACAGGATAACTGAAATGCGCAATGTAACGCCCGGTAAAGGTTCCCACCTGTTACGCTGAAAATTTGTGCAAGTGCTGGAATACTGGGTAGTTGTCGGAGGCTCGATGTTTGTCCCATTTTTGTGACTTTACTTCATGTTTATTTTCTTTTTGTTTTCCCCCATTTGTAGGTTTTTCGTAGTTTATTTGGTCCATTTCTTTCATTTTGTGTTTTCGCCTTTAGTTTATGTTTATGTGTCTTTTTGCCGTGTTTTTCCGTGTTTGTGTCTTCAGGAGGTAGGTTGTGCCGGTCGAGGTTAGGGTTGCTTGAGCTGAGACTGTGATATCGAGAATTCCCGTGGCCGAGCCCAGAAAACGACGAAGAGGACTGAAAAACAGACAGAAAACGCGCCCAGCATTTGTCGCGACTCGCGAGTCGTCTCGCGACTCGGGTCGCGACTCGCAAACATGTCGCGACCCGCGAGAAAAACTGGGGCTAAAGGTGCAGTTCCGGAGCGAGAGTCGCGACTCGCGAGTGATGTCACGACCAAACCCCAGAAGTTTAACATTTTGATGACGCGCGACTCGCGACCGAGGAAAAGGCAAAGTCGCGAGTCGCGACTTATCTGCGCGAATTTTGAGGAGCGAGATTTTAACATCAGATTTCGGTCCTAGGGATCATGATTCGACTTCCAGACTTTGTTTTTACGTGTTTTCTCTAGAGAAACTCATTCCTTTTCATACTTTTTCACTTTTGATTTGTTTTGGAGATTGAAAAAATCCTTTTTCTCGCTTTGGATTTGGATGCACTTGGAATTGACATTGGATTCTTTATATTAATCGTAAGTTTTTTTTTCTTCTCAATTGCTTTGTTGATGATGATGGCTTGGTTAATATGAATTGTGATGTTAAGTTCGTTATGAGTAGCTAAACATTTGCTAGGGATAGGGGATGATTGATTAGGTTCGTTATAATTGAATGCTTTTGATTGTTCATATCTATTCGAGTTGTGTGAATTATAGGGTTAGTAGATTGATCACCTTTCTAACCTAGTTAATCAGCGTATAGAACCGAGAGGGGAGACGTTGGTCGATTTAGGCTCGTTTAGAATAGACTTGTTCGTCATGGTATTGTCTATGTGTTGCTGGAATTGATAGTTGATTGTTTACATTCACTCTCTTGTTACGAAGAGTTATTGAGAGTGAACCTCTGAACGAGAAACGATTCAAGTCCTTTAACTGAGCAATTGATTGCCGGTGATTATGTTAGAACCGAAAGCAATTATCCCCAATTCCATAGCTCTTTAATCATTTAGTGAATTTATTTGCCATTTTACTTTCATTCTACTTAGTTTAAATCATTAGTTGATAATTGAAACCCAAAAAAATATTGAATTAGAGTGTTTAAGAATTTGTCTTCTCTTTTCGTGATTGAATAAATGCACAAGAATATCCGGCACACCTTCCTTGCGATACGACCCGGGGACGAATCTTTCGATTCTACTCCGGTAAAAATACTGACAACACTCGACTCTCCTTAAGCTACAAAAATATATAAGCAAATATCTAAGAAATTTGCTCGTCTTATAGAAACTGATACTAAAACTTAGACAGTTAAGCAGACAAAGCAGATATAGCAAGAAAATCACATAAGGCATATAGATGCATATGAACACTTAAAATTGGACTGGATTCTCTCGGCTCAACCGACTGTCTTAGGGTTTCTCGAAAAAATTCTTACTTAGGCTCGGAAACCCACTTTTCTGTATTTTCTGTACTGTCTCGAATCGGCCATTCTCGCCGAACTCCGGCGACTATTTCCGACCAACTCACATACTAAATGAATGTTTATAAATGAATGGTCGGTCACTTAAGTCCATGCATGTTCATTTAAATCATTTACTAAAATAGAATGATCGACTAAACTCTCTCGATTTTTATAAAATCGAATATAGCTGTTGTGACCATTTTTGTTACGCTTTTCTGTAATATTTTGTCATTCCTTTTCCCCCGTTTTAGGTCTTTTTGTTAGTTTTTAGTTCATTTTATAGTTTATTGTGTGTTTTGTTCTATTTTGGCTTTTTATGTGTTTTTTCGTATATTTTGTCGGTTTTTTACGTTTTTGTTCTTATTTTTAGTGTGCAGGTCGGAAGCCCCGTGAGGAATCGATTTAGCTTGAAACCGGGTCGGGAAATCATGGTTAGATAGATGGGTTCCTTAGCTACACATAGAAAAAAGCAGAATCCAATTTCAAGTTCGGACGAGTCCAGACAGGTCCAAAACGCGAAGTCGCGCGAAACACGTTCAATGTGTAGGTCAAGAGCTTTGGAAGAATATTATTTCAAGAATAATTTGGCCATTCAAGCATCATTTAATAGAGGAGTTCGTTAGCGACACATAGGAAAAAACAGAACTCAATTCCGAGTTCGGACGAGCCCAAACGAGCCCGAAACGCAAAGTCATGCAACCCAGTCCCCCTAGCGCCATAGCTACCCTTAGCGGACTTCAGAGCCTCGGCCATCCATACCCTAGCGCCGCTAGCACCCCTTGCTAGTGGCGCTAGCACCCCCTAGCAGCGCTAGCAGCTGCTGGCAGACAAGAATTTCTTATTTTCCCCTCAAATTGTGGCTTGTTTTGTGAGTGCTATGTAGTGGAGAATTTTGATCATGTTTTCTGCAAATTTTAGTAGTGGTGTTGGAGATATTACTCCTATAAATACCACTACATTTAGAACCATTCATCATCCTTGAACCACCCAAGGGGGTTCTCCCCCTATCCCTCTTCATCATCTTTCTACACCATCCTCTACACCATTCTTCATCTTCTTCATTTTCTCTCTTAAGTTTTCTTTTGTTTATGTTGTAATATGGAGCAACTTAGAGACTTGTTGTATCTTGGATTTAGCTTGTGTTTTGTTCTTGACATTGGAATTCACATTACTAGTAAGTTCTATTATCATTAAGTGTATTATGATCATGG